CTCTCAGTTTAGACTGACTATTAATTCTGTTAGCTGAAACTAGATTTTTATTAACTAACAGTTAACTAATAGTTAATTAATAAAATTAACGAAATATTATAAAATTAGTTCTGTTAACTTTGTTAACTGAAAAAAAAATTTTAACAGTTAACAGTCAACTAATAGTTAGCTAATATAGTTAACAGTTAGTTAACATAACTAATAAAATGTTATAAAGTGAGAACTATTTTCTTCAATTTTAATAGGTAAAGGGCTAAAAATATTCTAATATAAGATGAGAGGTTAAAACTTTCAAATTTAACAAGATGAAAAACTAAAAATAGAGTTTTGCCCAATGACCAAGGCCATGGAGTAAAGTCGAGACATAGTGATGAATTTAAAAGGAAACAACAAAAAAAAAAAAAAAAATGGGACTCACATGCTAATATTCTATACCAACCATACTAGTTGTAACATGAATCAATGATGAAACATAACCCGCGTGCTCAATGATAATTTTTTTTTTCCTCAAAAGAGGGTAGAAATCTTATGTTTGAGTAATTGCAACCGCAAGGATTGCCGAAAGGATGAAATATGACAATATCCGGTTGTGTAGTCCTATCTATACAAATAAAAGAATTTTAATTGATTTGGTTACAGATAATAATTGAACTTATAAGAAAATTATATTGAATTCCTTCATCATAATAAATGGTAATTTTTTGAGAATAAACTCTCGATAATCGGGAAACAAAATGGAACCCAAACAAATTAAAAATCAACCAAATTAGACTCCATTAAAAGAAAACTCTCTCAGTACCTATTTTTCTATTCAGAAAACTCGAATTCGAAACCTTATTTAAGAAAAATCAAGTTTCTTCCACTCAAACAAACATATCATTAGTTATTAATTGTTATTTATGACACTATTTCTTTCTGTGTATAAAAAAAAAAAACTTCCCCTTTTTTTTTTTTAAATTAATTGATTTTATGATTTGAAATTTAAAAAGATATTGATCAAATAGAAACCGAATCCTTTACAAATTTTATCAGATGGGACCTATAAATGAGAACAGAGTGTCTATCCCATACATTATAATAATGGTTTCATGTGAGCAATAAGAAAAAAAAAATTCATCTCATTTAATTTTTGTTTAACTTTTATCTTTTTGAGTTAAAAATTATAATCTTTCTCACTTTGAAATCAATAATCCCTCTCTAATATTTCTTCACTCTTATCAAAAAGTTAACACTTTTATGCTGACTTGAGGATGCCACATCACACTTATAAAGTAAGTTTCAAAGTTTATAAACCATTGCATGGTGAAACGTTCAGGACCAAATCGAGATAAAACAAAAAGTTGATGGATGATAACCATAATATATAAAGTTTGAGTTGTGAAAAAAAAAAAGTTCACGGACTAAGTGTTTATTTTCGAATAACAAATACTTTCCTTGATTCTACAGTCACTGCAACCCATCGTTCCCTGCTTTCTGGCGACGAAGAAAAGAGAGAACGCCGGCGACACGCCTCTCTATGACGTACCAAACCTAACCTCCCCCAAAACGATCAAATGCACACCAAAAATCGGTTACCCAGCAGCGGTCACAACACCCCGTCCCCACCATCGTCGCCTTTCCGCTCTCCCAGGTACCGCCACGGTCGTTCTTTCAAGGGGGCCCGCATTAGTCCCTTCCCGCCCTGTCGGTCTCCTGCCCACCGGCTTGCCTGGTTGTTTCTCTCTGTTCTCCTCCGCCGCCAGGGAATATTCCTCTTCGCACCTCTTATTTACATCTCCGGTATGCTTCTTTACATGGGCACTGTTGCTTTCGATGCCGCTCCCATTATTACGCAACACCCTGCACCCGGTTCCATCTACAGGAGTCCCCAGTTGTATGTCAAGCTCCGACCAGAGATGGATGCGGATAATTCATCTGCTGATGCGGTATGTTATTCTTTTCTCCGTTTTAATGCGTTGTTGGGTTCCGTTGAGGATGGTGTGATTTTTTTTTTTTTTGTCCTGTGGATTCTTGTCGATTCTTGTGGGGTTTTGTTTTTCTTTATTAGGCTCCTTTATTGGGTTTTGATGGTGAAATTTGATGTATCCTTGGTATCTTGAACGTGGGTCTGGCGGATTTCTTGGTCTTATGCTGATTTTCTTGTTGAATTTTATGGGCTTTGATATGTTGGCAACTGAATGCAGTGCCAGTTGAAACTTGGGGATTGGGTATACATTTCAGTTTTTCTCAACTTTGAGAAAACATAATGTTAAAGGAATAGCTTCCTCCATGTTCTTCTTTTGTCTTCCTGACACTCGGATCAAAATAGAACGAATGACATACATATGGTAAAGTGGGATTAGGCTCTTGTATCTTGCTGTTTATGTCTCACTTCAAATTTTAATAATTTATAGACAGCAACATATGATCTAGGGTGGTGGAAAAGATGCCATCAGTCCAGCTATTTGTATTTAGTTCTATTCACTAGGATAATCTACTAACTTCCAGGTATGATATACAAACTAGCAGAAATTTGATATATAATTTTCCTTTTAGTCCTTATTGAAGCTGCCAAATTTATGGAAATCTGAGCTTGAGGGAAATCGGCTAACTTGAGATTCAACTCTATGTTCAATGATTGAATTGTCTAAAGCAAAAGAATAACTCATTTAGGTGAGTTCACAAGCATGTGTATGCACTTGTAATATTTAGATTATATAATTAGGTACCAACTATACTGATTTTGTTTACCAGCTTCTGTCATTGTATTGTGGGATTTATGCTAACCGAGTTATATCACGGAATTTGGATCCAGCAGTTGGCCTCTTTAGTTTCCTTTTACTCCAATAGATGCATATCTAAGGCTTTTATGTAATTCTGAGTACATTGAGATTTACTTATGATACTAAATTCTAATTTTTCAAGTACATCTCAACCAAGCAATTGAAATTATTGTAGATTTCAACCATATGGAAAAAATCATATAAAGGTGATGAGTGGAGACCATGTGTAAACAAGTCTTCTGGAGGTATGAAATTATTGTAGATTTTACCATTTAATCTGTCTGAACCTTTACAAATACATATGTAGCTACACGTTTACAACATGAATATGGTAATTCTTGGTTGTTAACGATGTTCTTCAAAATTTTGAAGCTTGCTATTGTATTTATAACTTTAGGTCTACCTAAATCAAATGGTTACATATATGTTGAGGCAAATGGTGGACTGAGGCAAATGGTGGACTAAATCAACAGAGGACATCGGTTGGTTTTATTCTTCATTAACTTCATTTTGCATTTTTGCATTTATGCTTTACTTTCTCTTTGCATAAAGCTTGCATTTTCCCCAAATTTGTGTATTTAACATTATCATTTATGGTCATTTGGTTACATTGTAGATATGCAATGCAGTTGCGGTGGCAGGCTACCTTAATGCGACACTTGTGATCCCAAATTTTCATTACCATAGCATATGGAAAGATCCTAGGTTTGTAAGCATCCATTATGGTTAAAATATTTTGTTTTTGGTTAGGTCCTTTCTGATTTTGTTGTAAGAGAGAAGCATACATATATTCTGATGTGCTTTTAACATGAAAGTATTACCTAACTGACTATTTCAGAACACAGCAGAATCTCTAACTGTTAGTTAGACCTAATAAGTATCATTCATCTGAGGCAGCTTCATTATGTGATGAGCTTCTATTTTGCATTTCAATTTTTTAATGCTTGTCCCCCAATATCAATTAAATGCCTTTGTGTGACAATATCAGGTTTTGAAACCATTTTAATTATTCTGTTTGAAGTAGAAAAGATCAACTATGCTAGAAACCTCATTAATGCTCATTCTCTCTCTCTCTCTTTGGGGGGTGTGGGGGTTGGGAGCGTTGAACTCATCTCTCAATAATGGGGATGTGCGCCTTCGCAATCAAGCTCATGCTCAGGTGCACGTTTATTTGCAAAATAGAAGCCAAATTTGTATGTTAGATTTACTAGTTTCAACTGGTGAAAGACTAAATAGCATTACAGTAAGAGTGTCATTGAAGACATAAAAAGCTTCTTTTTTTTTTCTTTTTTTTTCCTTTCTTACGTTATTTGTTCATTGATTGTGCACACCATGTCTCATTTTCTGTTCATTCTTTTATGGATAACTTACTTTCTCCCTAGAAAATGGGTCAGTTGTCATATAATATCTTACCAATCACTTCATTTTCAAATGTGTTGAAACCTGTTCGTTTGTTTTAATTATGCAGCAAGTTCAGAGATATTTATGATGAGGAGTATTTCATCAGTACATTGGCAAATGATGTTCGGGTTGTTAATAAGATTCCTGAATACATAATGGAACGGTTTGACCACAATGTGACCAATGTCTACAATTTTAGAGTTAAAGCATGGTCATCTATTCAGTATTATAAGGATGCTGTCTTACCAAAGCTTCTTGAAGAAAAGTGAGTTTAAATTACTATAGTTGCCTATTCTTCTTCCAAGTTGGGGCTTGCTAAGCATCGATACATGGTAATAAAAATGATTCCTGCTAAAGGTGACATTTTATTGTCAAAGAAGTTACCTTTCCTTTATCTACAATTTTCCTCTGAATAATAGTATTTATTCCTTGCATTGGAACAATAGGCATTTTTCTGTATTCTAAGGTTTTCTTTTTCTGATTAATTTCCAGGCTCATTAGGATTTCTCCTTTTGCAAACCGATTATCTTTTGATGCTCCTCCACCTGTCCAGAGACTTAGGTGCTTGGCAAATTATGAAGCGTTACATTTTTCAGGTCCTATATTAATTCTTGGAGAAACTTTGGTTGCAAGAATGAAAGAGCAAAGTGCAAACAGTGGTGGCAAGTATGTTTCTGTGCATCTTCGCTTTGAGGAGGTTAGTTCTTTTCGAGTGAAAGGCATCTCAGTTTAACTTCATCCCTGGAATGGCGGCTAGTAGTGAGACTTCTATTTTGAGGTTGGCTGGCTGGTCGGGTTTCAAAACTAGTAAGGAGATCGTTATTTAAAGACTCTTTCTGATGGGTGCATTATTGTCCTTGCCATGCAGGATATGGTTGCTTTTTCTTGCTGTGTATTTGATGGTGGAGAGCAAGAAAAAGAAGACATGAAAGCAGCAAGGGAGAGAGGATGGAAAGGGAAATTTACAAAA